AACAAGAAGCACACAGCTAAATAAAAAAAATATTTTTTTTTACTACTATTTTGGGAAAGTTTTCCTTTGATAATAAAAAAAAATAAATCAGGAAATCTCCATTTACCACCAAATGAAATCACAATTTGTCCTGAAAAACAAAATGCGCACTATTGTTTCTGGGCTGTACTACGGGTACAAACAACAAATAACATACACATATATGGTATCGCTGCGATCGCCAAGAGATGGAAAATTTATTTTGGGTTGTTCTTTGGTGGTAGTATATGATAGTAACAAGAAGCACACAGCTAAATAAATTTCTACTATTTTGGGCCAGTTTTCCTTTGATAATAAAAAAAAAATAAATCAGGAAATCTCCATTACCATTTACCACCAATTGAAAGCCCAATTTGTCCTGAAAAAAAAACAAAGTATAATTCACCTGGCTGTATAAAGAAGTTGTGATATGTACGGTTTTACTAACACATGTCAACGTTGCAAAATTGTGCTTAGGTGTTCAGATTCATTTTACCCTTAGGCGTGAGGGGGTTAAGATGGCCTTGTCTTCGGACAACAGTAGCTATGAAGACACATAAACATGTTGCATTATGTCAGTTACAATTGTGTGGTTTTCTTATCTGTTGGTTCCCATGATTTCTACAAAGTGACAGGTCCTTTTAATGCTATCTTCCTCAAATGTGTTATATTGCAGGAACTCCCAAAATACTTACGCGGATACCATAAGTGCACAAGAGAAGATGTCCTCCACTTGGCAGCTCTCATCTACAGAGTCAAGTTCGAAGATGATAAGTCCTATTTCCCAAATATCCCCAAGATGTTAAAGGAACTAGTCCCTCAAGATCTCATCCGGCAACTGAATCCCGATGACTGGAAGCGGGTGGGTCAAAGATAATAATTGGATCTCAAATTTGAATAAAAAATCAATTGAAGTCACAGAAATAGATATACAATCAGACAGTCTACCTCCATATTCAAGTCAGTTGTACAGGGTATTTAAAAATGAGGTTCAGTCCAATAGGCACTAGAATTAGACTGAGGAACCTCAGATATCAGTAGTTAGTAATCACTTGAAGATTAGGCTTTTTCTGGCACGTTTTGTTTACATGTAACTATTTTTTTTGTACTAGAAAATATCTTAGAATCCCCAAACATTGTCTATTTTTTTAAAGCAGAGGCCCTAGAGAATAAGTGGGTTTTTTAATTTTTTATGTCAAACAGTATTTGCACAGCGGTTTCAAATGCCATTTTTTTTTTTGGATAAAAATGTGTTTTTTACAAAAAAACACAATCCATAACTCTATTTTTTGTCAAATATAGAGGTGATGTTCTGCCGAGTAAATAGATACCAAACATGCCGCACTTTAAAATTGCAAACGCCCAAGCAATGGTGTCAAACTACGTAAATTTTACTATTCATAGGCGGCACTTTAAAAGCTCTTACAGGTTACCACTTTAGATTTACAGAGGAGGTCTGGTGCTACAATTACTGCCCATAATCTGATGTTCCTGGTGATACCTCACGTGTGTGGGACGATTGCTACTTCCTTGCGTGCAGGACCATCGCATGTGTTCCACGCATGGGAGGGATAGGGGCACTTAAATTTTTTTTAAATTATTAATTTATCTAGTTTTTTTATTTTTACACTGTTCCTTTAAGATTTTTTACTAATCGCTTTTATTGCTGTCACAAGGAATGTAAACATTACTTGTGGCAGCAATAGGCACATGACAGGTACTCTTTATGGAGGGCTCTGGGGTCTATAAGACCCCAGATCCCGTCTCTGCACTTAACAGCATTCAAAACACCAAGATCTGTGGTTTTGAATGCTTTATTTTTTTTTAAATGGCACTGTTTAGTTCCGAGTAAAACGGAAGTGATGTCAGGTCATCGCTTCTGGTTTACTATAATAGAGAACCGATCAAAGCTGATCCTGGCTTTCTTTGGCTGCCCAGCCAGCCAGTGGATGTGCTGGCTTGTCGCTTGAGTCCAGGAGATCAAGACAGAGTGAGGCACGGAGGGAGGCGGCCCCTCCCGCTGCTTGTAAAAGCAACCGAGTGGCTGGTTAGCCGCTCTGATTGCTTTTACAAAAGAGCCAACCACCGGCTCTAAAAAAATTACCACTCGAAGTACAATAACGTACCAGGTATGTGATTGTGCAGCAAGTGGGTAACAGACCTGGCTAGACACGCCTCCCCTCTCTTCTGTGGGTCTAGTCTGTCTGAAGGGGTGTGGCTGTTACTCAGCTCTGTCAGCACAGAGCACTGGAGTGGAAGACCAGAAAGCAGCATTTTCAAAGGTATTTTAAGGCATTTCCAAGCAAAAGTTAGTCTCAAATCATAACGTGAGGATACAGAGAGAGAAAAAAGAGCTTCGGTTATTGAAAGCTTAGCTTATTGAAACATGCAGACTCACAAATGTTTGTGGTTTAATCTCTGAATGGAAAAGTTACAACTGGGATCCAACAGCAACAGTGCACTGACACTTGCACAGGGAAAACTGCAAAGGCATTAATATATATTAAACAATGGCAATAGTTCACCCATTGTTGGGCTTTCCTGACATTTGATATTTTTTACTACCAATTTCTGCCAAAAAATAGACAAATGGCAATTCTCTAAGCCTGATTGATGACAGATTTGATGTTTGAATCTAGCGAGAGAATGTCGTGGAATTTCATTAGCACTTCCAGCCTCTGAATTTAGTAATGATTATGGAGCTCATTAAACTTGTTCGGGTATTTACAAATTCTTACTGTGAAGACCGAAGAGAAGAAAGTATTACAGCGTATGCCAGGGTTTTATAGCTGTTTGTGTCCATGGTGGGGAGTTGTCTCCAGGACAGGAGATGAAGGAAATGACCCCTTTAACAACCACATACAGATACATGATACCAGGGGCGGACTGACCATTTGGAAACCCGGGCACTGCCCGAGGGCCCAGGGTCAGTAGGGGGCCCCATGAGATGCCCCTGGTACCTTTTTCATAGGCTTTTTTGAGTTTGGGCAAGGACACAGGGGCCCCAAGGTCCCCTATTGCCTGGGGGTCCCATGAGTTGTCAGTCCGCCCCTGCATGATACAAATATAACACATACTGTGTATAAAATGTATATAACACATGATAACACATTGTAATCACTGACAAGGTCCACCTTGGAACTTTCTTTTTTATACCATCATTCACACCCTGGGGCAATGCCAAAAAACAACAACCTAGCACAGGAAAAACACTTTGAAAGAAAAAAAGCCTCAACGTGTCTAAATGGCGATAGAACACCTAATTAGAGAAACAGTCTAAGGGCTGCAGCATGCACACTGTTAACTTGGATGGCATTCTCCTTGGTGGATAGGAGAGTTTAGTTCCACTTCAAAGAAGTTTTACCAAATGCCTTATTCCTGGACTTCTTACAAATTTAGAGATACAATTCCATATTTATAAGAATGGAGCTTAATTGGGGATGTCTCAAAATAACTGAAGACCCGTTCAATGATTGCATTCTTCCTGCAAGTTAGTGGGTAGACATCTCAATTATCCATTATTAAAGGGAAGTATTTATTCTGCTTTAATATTGGAGTTTAATAGTAGTGCTACCCCCAGAGAAGCCGCTTGGTTTGTTGGGTCCTCTGTTCTCTGCCTTCACACTTGAACCTGCTTGGTCTCCATCAACACATTTGGTTATACAGTACTTTACTTACACCTGTGTAGTTAATATTCTACTGGTGTATGATAGTACGCAGAAAATAGATTATGAGCAACTTGGGAATTAGTAAGGTAAATGTATTAATGAAGGTTAAGCAAATGCAATGAGAAAACAAATAAACGGGACAACAGAAACAAGGTATTAGAGCTATTATCTGGCATTGAAATTTGCATTGCAGTTGTCTATACATTGGAAGGTTCTTATTATCCAGAGAGAAATCAGAATTCAAGGAAATACGGTTGCCATTATACATCAACTCAGGATCTACCCGTGCTGCTTGCAGAATATTTTCCCAGTCACGGAAATGTAACAACCATGCAATCATGGGGTGAAGAATACGATGGGCCATTTCAATGGCAAACAGCCAGGAAAAGATAGTGGGGTCCATGGTATCCCTGAGCCATTTCTTCAGAAAATCAGAGTTTCTGCCTTCTGCCCCCCTCCGGAAAGGCCACGAGCCTGCTGTTATCCCGATGCTGTCCATCCCCCATATCTGCTATCTTAGTGCAATGCTCGGCAACGGCTTTCTGAGAGACCTGGACTGCAGTCTCCAATGGTCGAACACAGTCCTCTAAATCACTAACACACTGTTCAGCAGCAGCTCTCCCTTTAACATTCTGTAGATCTTGTTTCAGAAAGGAGAAGTCTAATTTCAAGCCTTTAGTATGATCCGTCATGGTAGCCTGCCATAAGTGTATGTGGCCATGATTTGTTTGAGCCATGATTTGTTTGTTTGAGGGAAGGGGCTCACCTCTGCTGAAGCTGCGCCTTCATCCTCTGCTACCATAGAAGGTGGTAAGCTAACCTCTCCCCAGTCCACATGGCTGCTGCCTCCATCTTGAGAACGCTAGGCAAAACATGCCAACCGCGTACCTGGGGGTTTGCTGATTGCCTAGCCTAAATCAGGGAGGGCTCCCGTGTCGGAGGGGAACAAATATAGCGGACACTGCTCACAGGATCACAACAGAATCAATGAATCTCAGATGGAGCTCTCTCTCCCCACTGCTCACATGTTGGTGTTGGCTCGGCCCCCCCCCCCCCCGGTCCCGGTTCTTAGTCAACTGTTTCCATGTGCCACAGGTACAATTCCATTAAGGGAATTTATTGTTTTTCGGCAACCATTCTAAATATTTAAAACCTTATTTGGCCGTGTGTATACTTATTTTTAGTTTCTTTTACACTAGTAAGAAAAAAACTAAATATATTTAACATTTGTATGTTCCTCTGCAGTCCATTATTGCCTACTTCAATAAACACGCTGGGAAAACCAGAGAGGAGGCCAAGGTCGCCTTTCTGAAGATTATCTTCAAGTGGCCAACATTCGGTTCAGCCTTTTTTGAAGTCAAGGTAAGAAATATTTTGGCTCTGCCCCTAATTCTCTCCAACCACCCTCAACACCCTGGATATTCTACCCATTTTAGATGACGTTCTGCTTTCTCCCCAGCCATAGGCATCATAAGGCACACCATGCAAGCTGGGAAAAATTATACATTTTATTTAGATTTCATTCTGTCATACACAGGTTCCATTTCATTTGGCCTATGTCTGTTGTCACCCATACTGCAAGATAATTATGGCAAGGAAGGAAACTACAATGACCACATGCTTGCATACAGGTGAAACTCGAAAAATTAGAATATTGTGCAAAAGTTCATTTATTTCAGTAATGCAACTTAAAAGGTGAAACTAATATATGAGATAGACTCATTACATGCAAAGCAAGATAGTTCAAGCCGTGATTTGTCATAATTGTGATGATTATGGCTTACAGCTCAAGAAAACCCCAAATCCACAATCTCAGAAAATGAGAATATTACATGCAATCAATAAAACAAGGATTGTACATAGAACAATATTGGACCTCTGAAAAGTATAAGCATGCATATGTACTCAGTACTTGGTTTGGGCCCCTTTTGCAGCAATTACTGGCTCAATGCGGCGTGGCATGGAAGCTATTAGCCTGTGACACTGCTGAGGTGTTATGGAAGACCAGGATGCTTCAATAGCGGCCTTCAGCTCTTCTGCATTGTTCGGTCTCATGTCTCTCATCTTTCTCTTGGCAATGTCCCATAGATTTTCTATGGGGTTCAGGTCAGGCGAGTTTGCTGGCCAATCAAGCACAGTAATCCCACGGCCATTGAACCAGGTTCTGGTGCTTTTGGCAGTGTGGGCAGGTGCCAAGTCCTGCTGGAAAATGAAGTCAGCATCCCCATAAAGCTCATCTGCGGAAGGAAGCATGAAGTGCTCCAAAATCTCCTGGTAGATGGCTGCGTTGACCCTGGACTTAATGAAGCACAGTGGACCAACACCAGCAGATGACATGGCTCCCCAAATCAACACAGACTGTGAAACTTCACACTGGACTTCAAGCATCTTGCAATGTGTGCCTCTCCATTCTTCCTCCATACTCTGGGTCCTTGGTTTCCAAATGAGATGCAAAAGTTGCTCTCATCAGAAAAGAGGACTTTGGACCACTGAGCAACAGACCAGGTCTGTTTTTCTTTAGCCCAGGTAAGACGCTTCTGACATTGTTTGTTGTTCAGGAGCGGCTTGATAAGAGGAATACGACATTTGAAGCCCATGTCCATGATCCGTCTGTGTGTGGTGGCTCTTGATGCACTCCAGCCTCAGTCCACTCCTTGTGAAAGTCCCCAACACTTTTGAATGGCCTTTTCCTGACAGTCCTCTCCAGGCTGCGGTCATCCCTGCTGCTTGTGCACCTTTTTCTTCCACACTTTTCCCTTCCACATAACTTTCTATTAATGTCCTTTGATACAGCACTTTGGGAACATCCAACTTCTTTTACAATTACCTTTTGAGGCCTTTCCTCCTTATGGAGGGTGTCAATGATGGTTTTCTGCATAACTGTCAGGTCAGCAGTCTTTCCCATGATTGTGATTCCTACTGAGCCAGACTGAGAGACCATCTCCTAGATTGTAAGCTCGAAAGAGCAGGGTCCTCGAACCCCTCGTGTATTGTATTGTTACTGTCTTGTCTCATGTTCTGTCCCCCTTGCTACTGTACAGCGCTGAGCATACCCTTTGGCGCTATATAAATACTGTATAATAATAATTTAAAGGCTCAGGAGCCCTTTGTAGGTGTTATGGCTTAATTAGCTGATTAGAGTGGGACACTTTGAGCCGAGAATATTGCACCTTTTCACAATATTCTAATTTTCTGAGATTGTGGATTTGGGGTTTTCATGAGCTGTAAGCCGTAATCATCATCACAATTATGACAAATCACGACTTGAACTATCTTGCTTTGCATGTAATCAGTCTATCTCATATATTAGTGCCACCTTTTAAGCTGCATTACTGAAATAAATGAACTTTTGCACGATATTTTAATTTTTTGAGTTTCACCTGTAGTTCTTAGGTAGAGAGCTTTCAGAGAAAGATGGATATTTTACATATGAATACAGAAAATATAAAAAGGAGAAAAGGTGGGGGGGGGGGGGAGCCATGAAGATATGGGGACTTTTAGGTGCAATCAAAGCTCAACCCAAAAAATACTAACATAAAATTACTTTTTCATTTTATACAAATGTTAAAAAAAAAGGAAAAATTGGTAATCTAAAAACATGTTATACAGGCTGTAGATAAAGCAGTAATTGTATTCACTTGAATGAAAGAGTGAAAAGATCGAAGTGTAACTGGATCGACACATTTTTTTCCCTGAAGAGGACTTCTTCAGGATAAACTTTGTTATTACAGCAAAAACACTTATGTCACTAGTACACAATATAATATACAAGAGATTAGGTACGAATAAAAAAAAAAACACTTACTGCAAGATAATTACGGCAAGGAAGGAAACTACAGTGACCACATGCTTTCATAGTTCTCAGGCAGAGAGCTTTCAGAGAAAGATGGATATTTTACATAGTTTCTCTGATCCAGCTTGTTCCCTCTAAACTAGAAATCACTGTAATAGGCAGGGTCGTCTTATCGCATGTACACCTAGTAGTGTATTTAGGTTTCGTGCTGCCCTAGGCAACACAAAAATCGTCTCCCCCCCCCACAGAGAGACCCTGACTCCGACCAACACCCTCCTCCCCCCACAAAGAGAGCTTGACATTGACCAAAACACCCCAACCCCCACCCGAGAGAGCCTTCCACTATCGCCTCCCCCGATACACTTGCAACCCCACCCCGGCAAGAGAGAAGACTCTCACATTCACAGCTCTGGACATCTCCGAGAACAAGAGTCGGGCTCTGCATTCACCTTCAAGCAGCCCGTAGCCTCTCTCAGATCCCACCTGGTCCCCATGCTGCATGTGTCCCTTCTTCAAATCCCTTCTCTCGGGGGGTGGCACTGCCCCCCTTAAAAATGCCACTGCCCCCCTGAAAAATGCGGCTGCCACTCTGAAAAATGCCACCCTAGGCAAATGCCTTGTTTGCCTTGTGGTAAATACACCCCTGTATACATCCTCTGCATTCCCCCCCCCCCCCCAACGGGGAAGTGAATTGGGGGTGAGTGAAGCTGGAGGGGAAATAAGTAAACCTATTTATTGCCCTCCATGAACAAAACACAGGTCTGCTATGATATTGCTTCATATGAAAACCAGCCACCAGGTAGTAATTGTTTTCTGTGATGATGATTTGAGTGCACAAGACATCTCTGACCTGGAAAACAACTATTTCTTTTTTTATTAGCAAACCACAGAGCCTCATTTTCCAGAAATTCTCCTAATCGCAATTAACAAGCATGGCGTCAGCCTGATAGACCCTAAGACAAAGGTACAGTATATATACCCTCCCTTCTATTCCTCATTCCAGTAGAATTAGGGTCGAAGCTCCCTTGTCAGCCTGCCACAGGAAGAATACGACACAAGCTGTGTGGTTTGAATGTTTGAGACAGATCTGCAGTCAGGGCCGGGACAAGGGGTGGGCAGGAGGGGCAGCTGCCCTGGGCGCAATGATTTACTGTGGGGTCGCCTTCTCTTTGTTACAAGGCTGACAGGGGTAGTTATAGAGGCAGTGATTTTGAGAAGCGAGTGATTGCTGGAGGGAGATAGGATCCCCTAAGCTTACACATGAATGGGGGGAGGGGTGTAGTTTGGCATCTTTGCCCTGGTTGCTGGATGACCTTGTCCTGGCACTATCTGTAGTTATTATGATTCTCAAGTTACATTTAACCTTCAGTTTAATTTAGCTGAAAAAACTTTCAGGTGTATAAAGATAGTACTTGTGCATAGTCTCACAGTTATTTTAAACAGCCACAGCCTGAGTAGAAAAGCCTGTCCCCTGCCAGCAGCTTCAGAGCCAGGACTCTTTCTGTCAATGGGGGAGCACTGGTCTCTTTGCAGAGGTCCACCATGCCCCCTACTGGGTGAGCAAAGCTCATGCTCCCTTCTGATTGGAGAGCTCTAGCTCTAACCAAGCAGGCGACATTTGTAACAGGAGGAAAAGGGACACATCAAGGTGAGCTGAAAACAATCAAAATTTGGAGACAGGAGTACTATTGGGAATTATTGCAGGGAGATATCACAGTTGGACTTTCCAAGGTATTTTAGAATTCTGGGTCTCACTGAGACCTCCAGGCTCTACCTGTAACCAGGATGTCACTTTTGAGTGGACTAACCCAGGGGCTGTAGTAGTGAAGCCTGTTGCAGGCTGACAACACTAGGTCACTGCCTAGTAATTCGCATCACCTGAATGTGTGGTCTACTTCATTTGGTCATTGGGTTATCTATCCTAAACGTGAGAGGCAACCCAAATCTTAAAATTGATTTTAGAGCAGTGGTCTCCAGTCTGCAGCCCGGGTGACAAATGTGGCCCTTTGCTTGTTTTTATCTGGCCCTTGGGCCACTATTTCATCCAATAATACCAACAATGGGGCATAATTCCTCCCAGTGACGGGATACAATTCCTCCCAGTGACACCAAGAATGGTGCACAATGTATTCCAATTACACCAACAATGGGGCCCAATGACACCAATGTCAGAGCACAATACCTCCCCAATGACATGAACGATTGGGCACAACTCCTTACAATGACATCAGAGATGGGGCATTCTTTTTTCCCCACTGATGTTGGGACCTTTTCTACTCCAAATGGCCGCAGTCTGGCCCCCACTAAAGTCTGAAAGACCATAAACTGGCCCTTTTGAAAGTTTGGAGACCTCTAATTTAGGGTTTACATTTATTTTAAGCTGATCCATTTTAAGTTTATATACAAAAATTTTAAAGACTATACATTCCCTTTAATCATACTGTGCATGGAACATTCTGCATCCCCCAAAATATTTGAGTGATCACAGCAAACATGTACAGTAGTCACAATCTATCTTCCATAATGTATTTCAGCAGGTCCTTCCATAAACATAATTGCTGTACAACAAGGTGGAGGGATTGGGTGCGGCACAGACAGAGATGGTGGGACAGGGGTGGACTGACCATTTGGGCATTGCCCGAGGGCCTGGGGTCAGCAGGGTGCCCCATGAGAGGCTTCACAGATGTCATTCAGGGCAGCATATTTAGGTCTGTCTGAATAATGTGTCCGCCTGAAACCTGGACACATTATTCAGACAGGAATATGGCTGTGAGTGGGACCTGGCAGGATGGGAGTGGATGAGGAGGTAGGAGAAATGTGTACCCAACGAGCAGGGGACTGCCAGTGACAGTGTGGGGAGCGGAGGAGGAGGCAGCAGCAGCCTCAGAACCCGGAAGTAGCTGACCTTTCACTTCTTGTAGTGGCAGAGCAAGTCAGGGTCCCGGGCAGTGCTAGTGCCTTGCTACAGGCTGCTGGTGATGGAGCAGGTGGGCAGTGGGAAGCTGAGAGTAGTCCATAATTCTTTAGGTACACTGACTAACACTGACTCCTTTACCATGGCTGATGATCAGGGAACCCTGCACCATCTAATAGGAATTTACAGACTACAGTATAAAATCTGAGGTGGGGAGGGGGTGTTCATCCAGTGTAATTATAGGGGAATGGGGGGGTCTTCTGGTGTAGTATGGGGGAAAAGGGGAGCCCCCCCCCCTCACTCGCACTCCAACTCTTAATCCCCTCCCTCTCTCTTACCCTTACTCACCCCCTCTCTCTCTCTTTCACCCCCTTCCACCCCCCACTCTCTCCCCTTTTCTCTCCCTCTCACCCCCCTATTCTCTCTCACCCCTTTTCTCTCTCACCCCCCCCCTCCCTCTAATCCCCCCACTCTCTCTCCCCCCCCCCTCACCCTCTCTCTCTCACCCCCTCCCTCTCTCACTGCCCTCCTTCTGTCATCTCCTCTTTCTCTCTCACACCCCCTCCTCTCTCCCCCCCTTCCCCTCTCTCTCTAACTACCCTCCCTTTATCTCACCCTCCTCCTCTCACCCCTCTCTCTCTCACACCCTCTCTCTCACCTCCTGTCTCTCCCTCACCCCCCTCTTGCTCTCACTGCCCTCCCTCTGTCATCTCCCTTTTCTTTCTCTCACCCCATCTCTCTCCCTGCCCTCCCTCTATCTCACCCCCTCCCTTCTCACCTCCCTTCTCTCTCTCACTACCCCTCGTCCCATCCTCTCTCTCTCTCATCTCCCTCCTCACTCCACTCACTTTCTCACTCCCTTCTCTCTCCCACTCCCCCCACATAGCAGCCATATTTAAATCTAGAAGTGCCCAGTGGCTTCTATGGAAAGAAGCCGGGAACATTCATGCAGGGTTTAGTAGATATTTAAATGCCCCTTCTATGCAGCTGAGCCTATGATACCAATCTTCATCATTCAGTTGCATCTGCGCTGGGAAGAAACACAGAGCCAGAGCACTGACATTCCACCTCCATGGGGATTATCTCTGGATGTAGCACCTACTTCTTCAAGACATGGAGGGTTAAGGTGCAGCACACACAAAGTGGGGGCGTGGGGACCAGATGCAGCACACATAGGTGGGGGGGACTGGGTGCAACACAGGCAAGGGTGCAGGGACTAGGTCCAGCACACAAACACAGTTGAGGAGACTGGGTGCACCACTCACATAGATGGTGGGACAGGGTGCAGCACAGACAGTGGTGAGGGGACCATGTGCGGCACACACATACTGTACAGCATAGGACAAACTATGGTATAGGAAAAACTTTCATGAAGGGTAACAGTGGTTTTTTCTAACCTATCCAGAAAGTTATGGTCAGCTGGTGTCTGATGCATAGACATCAATTCATCGAAATCATGACATGAGAAGTGTAATGGCTGTTCTCCCTGCAGGATATTTTGGCCACCCACCCTTTCACAAAGATCTCCAACTGGAGCAGCGGAAATACTTACTTCCACATCACCATTGGGAATCTGGTGCGAGGCAGCAAACTGCTCTGCGAGACTTCACTGGTGAGCTAATCATGTATTTATTTTTTCTCATTTGGTATAGGTCTAACACTATAACACAGAACTGTACAGAGAACATTGAACATTCACATCGCTCCCAACTCACAAAGAATGTTATGGTTTCAGGCCAATGTGCTGTGGGAACATGCGCTACTATGCTCATTATTGCAATGCCTTCACTCGTATGCATTGTGGTGCTGTAGTTCCATTCATTTTTAATGACACTCCAACTAAGCCAACTGATGCATATTTTAACATAATGCACAAAGTACCTATTTTCATGCATTTTAGTACATTAATGCAGTACGTTAAGAAGGCAGAGCAGGAGTTCCCCCATTCTCTGCTGCATATATCTTCCAGGTCAATCACTCATAAAACATTGAATCATTAGAGATTCATGACAGCTAGGAAGCTAGCATTTCCACAAGGGGGTCAGAGACAAAACAGCTGTCATAGGGCACAGGTCCGGTAACTGTTTTTTCCTGACTTCATCTCTTCAGGGATACAAGATGGACGATCTCTTGACTTCCTACATCAGCCAGATGCTGACATCGATGAACAAACAACGGGGAGCAAAGGGCAGCAAGTGAACTGAACGGGATCGCTGGCAACTGGCGGTAGATTTGATTCGCTCTGTCAAGCCCGTGGGCTACCCATGCAGCTGGGGCAAGAGCTTTTGTCCTCAGGTATGGAACATGAATAGAGCCGAGTCCCAGACTTCCTCCGACACAGAGACTGAAGGTTCAACTTCCCTGTCCAGCGAGGATGACTACCTGTGACCGACGAAGGCAGCTTTGGTCATGGTTTTGGTTTACAGCAATGGGCCAAAAACTGGGAGTGCGGAATGACAATAATGATCACTTAAGAAGAGAGTTTCCATTGTAAGGCTACAAAGGCTGTTACGACTCTTGGCTGCTTAGAGATTTAACTCCAGAATTTAAGAGACCTCCATCCTTGCTAGATCCCCTATTTTTTTATAAAGTCCCTACCATACCTGCAGTCTCCTGGCTGGTTATGTGATGTCACGGGTCCCTCCTCTTCTGATGGGCAGTCCCTCCTCCGACCAACGAGGTGTGAACGCTGTTCTTTGCAATAGTACTGTGAGCCTAGGCTGGTGTGATGATGCACTCCAAGGGTTGCATGTCCATGACAGCCTGGGCTCACAGAACGGGGATTGGGTGTCATTGAGTGTCATTGACCCTGGCAGAAAATTGGCACTGGAGCACGGAATCTGCAGGTGACAGTGCCAGAGAGGAGGTGAGTGTTGCAGCACAAGCTAAATAGACTAGGGCCTAGGCTACTTGTATATTCTAGTGATGTAGTTGGACTTTACCTACTTGTTGGCCTTATTTGCATCACACTGGACACAATGTGCTACTAATGGGACAATTGTCAACAACTAGTTAAATCTCTCAGTAGCACAGATTTGATTGCCCGTATAGTCTTGACTGATACACATAGGATGTAATTATTTCAAAGAGAGCCTGTCACAGCAATCTCTACCAATATCCATTAGCTGTCCCTGTGTAGTATATACAGAGGTACTGATCCCACATATCTCACATAAATCCAACCTTGGAATTCCAAGTCGCCTAAAGCCATTACTCCTTTTCCTAGGCTTAACATCATCATTTCTTTAGGCTGCCCATACATATGGCAATTTTCAGTCAATTTCAACCACTTTTTGAGCCTTGGAAAAATACACATGCAACTGCAAGTAATCTTCAGAAACTAAGCAATCTACCACCCACAGGTTTGATCCACCACCATAAAATTGGGCAATAAAGTGACAGCTTTAATGCAGTTTACCAAAAGACTGAATTGAAGTCAAATATTATCAAAACTGGGTAAACCTTCAGAAATTTCATTCAAAGCGGTCGTATTTAATTTTTGTCTGCTGAGGGACACACTAAATTTTTCACCTTTGGGATATACTGACACCTACCAGAGGATTGAACCCTTGCAAATAAAAACAAAGAATAAGTCCTCCCTCTAGCAGCATTCCTCTGCTGTTTGCAGGGCTGGGACAAGGGGTGGGCGGAAGGGGCGGCTGCTCTGGGCGCAATGGTTTGCTGTAGGGATGGGGGCACCTTCCTTCTTTTACATGGGACTGGAGTAATGACAGTTGCAGTGATTTTGACAAGCGAGTGACTGCTGGGCGTAGGATCCCCTAAGCTTGCACATAATCAACCAGGTATGCATGGGGGGGGTAGTTTGGCATCTTTGCTCTGGGCACTGGATGACCTTGTCCAGCACTGCTTGGACATTGAGTGCCTTTTCTTCAGCTCTGTTGCACAAGCAACTACCTTATATTTGTTAGCATCGACCTTTGTCTCTCAGCACTCAATTTGTTTTTTTTTAATTTCAATTGTTCTATCAAATTGATATGTGTATGGCTAACAATAGACCAAAGTGATGTCATACATCTCATGAGTCGTTGTTTTTTTTCCTGCTTTAAGCTTAAAGTCTCAAATTTCGGCCATTCAGTCTGCAAGAGAGAAAAAAAAATATATTGATTTCCCCATCAACACTAACAGCGAAGATGGAGGACTCTCCAATGTATTCGGGCAACTGTGGCAGCAGAGGCTGCTGGTGCTGGCGAACACTGACTGCATCTGATAAGATGCAATCACTGTTTCACTGATAACTTTCCAACCAGCTTGGTCAATTTTTAATCTGACTTTTATCGAGCGAGGTGGTGTTTCATGGCCATCCATGGATCGAATTTTGGCTGATCAAGCAGCAAGGTGCCAAAATTCAAACTGTCAATGGCCAGCTTCACAGAGGTTTACAGCTCTGGAATGGAGAGAGGATAGGAACATGGGCCACTGGAGATGTAAGCATACAATGCCTTGAAAAAGTATTCATACCCCTTGAAATTTTCCACATTTTGTCATGATACAACCAAAAAAACGTAAATGTATTTTATTGGGATTTGATGTGATAGACCAAAACAAAGTGCCGCATAATTGTGAAGTGGAAGGAACATGATAAATGGTTTTCAACATTTTTTACAAATAAATATCTGAAAAGTGTGGCGTGCATTTGTATTCAGCCCCCCGGAGTCAATACTTTGTAGAACCCCCTTTCACCGCAATTCCAGCTGCAAGTCTTTTTGGGTATAGCTCTACCAGCTTTGCAGATCTAGAGAGTGAAGTTCTTCTTTGGAAAATTTCAAGGGGTATGAATACTCTTTCAGGACACTGTAATACCTCATCCATTGCATGGGCCTTTCATCTTCATCTGACAGGGTTTGGTTAATTGCAACACACGTTAAGAGTACATGTATTACTGCAATGCATTGGTGCAGAAGGGCCCCAAGGCCATGACACTCCAGGCTTTGTCTTATTTCTGTAACTCTTCATAGACTACACAGATATTTTTAGAGCAGAAAGAGTGGATATTGTACAAATAGAGGTGACAGGGTCTCTTTAACATGATAGTGTTTATAATCCTTCCAATTTCCAGAGCCACAGAACAAGATGAACGCTAAATGGATATTCCGAGCAGAAACATTTGAGGACATCTTAGAAGATGCCTCAAAAGGAATTAACGGAACATAAAAATAGAAAACTGATCCAATATATCGCAATTGATGGAGTCCTAGAGAAATGTTACAGTATTTAAAGAGTAATTTTAACAAGATATATTATTTATTTAACTTAAAATGATGTACCATTTTTGTTTTGAAATGTTGAATTTGGAAAAAGAAATGATTCAGTAAAAAGGACTGGTTGAATTTTAATGACAAATGTGTAGAATGTTCTTGTTTGTGGAGGATGGGGCAATACGGTAAGTGTTGTGTAGGTGTTTATGCATAAATAATTCTTTAGAATTAAATATGTACAGTACATAATATGGCCAAACGTTTGTAGACACCTGACCATCACACCTACTGTATATGAGCTTACTGGATATGCCATTCCGAAACCATGGGCATTAATATGGAGTTCCCCCCCCTCCCGTTCCTCCTCTGCAACTATAACAGCCTGAACTCTTGGAGAAGGCTTTCTGTAAGGTTTTGGAGAGTTTCTCCCTGTTCTCCGTTCTTCCCTTAAATCCAACACCCAGATTCCCAGCAGGGAGGGGATGTGTCTGAACTGAGTATGCAGCAAAGGAAGTTTGGAAGAACCGTGCAGTGCCAACCACTACAGAGCGAGACTCCAGTGGCCAGTGAGTGCACCCCCTCAGGTGAAGCTTTGCCCATATTCCAGAGGTGGGAATAGCCCTGATATGACTGGTGCAGCGGTGCTGTGGGTTAGGGGGATGTAAGGGGTTCAAATTAAGGAGGAGTGGGGGATACAGGGGTACAGAGTGCTGGATAATGGGGGATGCTGGGATGGAGATTGTGGGGTAATGAGGGCAAGTGCAGGACTTGGTCTGAGGATGGGGCAAGTCCCTGAAACATGTTATCATGATGATCAGCTTCTCTCCTTTGGTTGACATGGTTTGAGTGCTCCCCTAGGCTTCCAGTTTGCCCTCACCAGCTCGTGCTCGGACGGTCTCTTGCCAGATGTATGATATTACATCCAGGTCTGGAACACTTGACTTCTGGCGGATGTGCCATCTTCATGCTCCTGGCGGCCGCCATCCACACACACTCCTCCCACTGTCCTGAGGCTCCTGGGGAACTCAAGCTACTGTTGGGTCCAGGATCATGTGTCATCCTCTAGCTTCTGGGAATATTTGTTTTCCTCTCCACTGGTTTGGTGATGTATCAATCTGGGCACTCACTCCTACATGTCATACTTTTTAACCCAACATTAAAGTGAATTTCGATTTTATCTGTTACTGGGCTTGTGACTTTATTGACTTCCACAGGGTTGGGAGTACTCCTTTATTTGTTGTAAAATGCAGGTATTGCAATACGTACAGAGTACGGTAGTGGGGGAGGGGAGTACATAGTGAGGTGCAATGAGGGTACAGAGAGTGGTAGGGGATGTAGGTAGTACTGGGTAATAGGGAATCCAGAGGATGCAGAGTGAGGTGTAGCGGTGGTGTAGAGTGAGGTGTAATCGATAGAAGATACAGTGGGGCAAAAAAAGTATTTAGTCAGCCACCAATTGTGCAAGTTCTCCCACTTACAAAGATGAGAGAGGCCTGTAATTGGCATCATAGGTAGACCTCAACTATGAGAGACAAAAGGAGAAAAAAATCCAGACAATCACATTGGCTGATTTGGAAAGAATTTATTTGCAAATTATGGTGGAAAATAAGTATTTGGTCAATATCAAAAGTTCATCTCAATACTTTGTTATATTTCCTTTGTTGGCAATGACAGAGGTCAAACGTTTCCTGTAAGTCTTCACAAGGTTGGCACACACTGTTGCTGGTATGTTGGCCCATTCCTCCATGCAGATCTCCTCTAGAGCAGTGATGTTTTGGGGCTGTCGCTGGGCAACACAGACTTTCAACTCCCTCCAAATGTTTTCTATGGGGTTGACATCTGGAGACTGGCTAGGCCACTCCAGGACCTTGAAATGCTTCTTACGAAGCCACTCCTTTGTTGCCCGAGCGGTATGTTTGGGATCATTGTCATGTTGGAAGACCCAGCCACGTTTCATCTTCA